CTTGTCTGCTACGTGCAGGTTCAAACGACTGCCGCCTGCCAAGGACGCCCGAGATAACAAGTCCTGTCCTCTAAACTTTTCCTTGTATCTTTCAACCCCCCCCCCCCCCTTTTTTTTTCAAACGCGATAATGAATCTGTCACTGCGTGGCTGAAAAAGCTAGGCTATAAACTATCTAAATATACAACTGCGGGGGCTAGCACATTTGCTGGTCAGAACTCTGGTAACAGGTTCGAAATCCCTCGAAGCGGGTTGTTATTATTAAGTTGGACTATGCTTTCAACCTACCATCGATCCCATGATGTGTCCTGGGATTACGACTAACCCTAGCATGGGTTACAGGATGCGTCCTGGGGTAAGGATTAATCCTAGCATGGGTTACAGGATGCGTCCTGGGGTAAGGATTAAACCTAGCATGGGTTACAGGATGCGTCCTGGGGTAAGGATTAATCCTAGCATGGGTCACAGGATGCGTCCTGGGGTAAGGATTAAACCTAGCATGGGTTACAGGATGCGTCCTGGGGTAAGGATTAATCCTAGCATGGGTCACAGGATGTGTCCTGGGGTTAACCCTAGCATAGGTCACATGTGTCCTGGGGTTAACCCTAGCATAGGTCACAGGATATGGATCAGACAGCAACTGGTGACCCAGCAACATGCAGTGTAACGGGATGATGATGATGATTTATGACGATGTTGATGATTTATGACGATGATGATGATTTATGACGATGATGATGATTTATGACGATAAAGATGATTTACACTCGAAAGATTGAATGAACAAGCTTTATTTTTAAAAGGTTTCGAACTGGACACGAGGCCCGTCTTAGATTAGGCATACATACATGTTCACACACATACATTCATACACACACCTATAAATATACTCACACATATTCATACATACGCATATACAACCATGCGTACAAACTCTTACATATCCAAGCATGCCAAACACACACACACAAACATACATACGACTGGGACGGCAGGAGAACAGTGATTTCTCAGGCTACTGTCGACAGTAGGACTGGCAGGAGATCAGTGATTTCTCAGGCTACTGTCGACAGTAGGACCAGCAGGAGAACAGTGATTTCTCAGGCTACTGTCGACAGTAGGACCAGCAGGAGAACAGTGATTTCTCAGGCTACTGTCGACAGTAGGACCAGCAGAAGAACAGTGATTTCTCAGGCTACTGTTGACAGTAGGACCAGCAGGAGAACAGTGATTTCTCAGGCTACTGTTGACAGTAGGACTGGCAGGAGAACAGTGATTTCTCAGGCTACTGTTGACAGTAGGACTGACAGGAGAACAGTGATTTCTCAGGCTACTGTCGACAGTAAGACTGGCAGGAGAACAGTGATTTCTCAGGCTACTGTCGACAGTAGGACTGGCAGGAGAACAGTGATTTCTCAGGCTACTGTCGACAGAAGGACTGGCAGGAGATCAGTGATTTCTCAGGCTACTGTCGACAGTAGGACTGGCAGGAGAACAGTGATTTCTCAGGCAACTGTTGACATTAGGACCAGCAGGAGAACAGTGATTTCTCAAGCTACTGTCGACAGTAGGACTGGCAGGAGAACAGTGATTTCTCAGGCTACTGTTGACAGTAGGACCAGCAGGAGAACAGTGATTTCTCAGGCTACTATCGACAGTAGGACTGGCAGGAGAACAGTGATTTCTCTGGCTACTGTTGACAGTAGGACTGGCAGGAGAACAGTGATTTCTCAGGCTACTATCGACAGTGGGACTGGCGGGAGAACAGTGATTTCTCAGGCTACTGTCGACAGTAGGACTGGCAGGAGAACAGTGATTTCTCAGGCTACTGTTGACATTAGGACTGGCAGGAGAACAGTGATTTCTCAGGCTACTGTTGACATTAGGACCAGCAGGAGAACAGTGATTTCTCAGGCTACTGTCGACAGTAGGACCAGCAGGAGAACAGTGATTTCTCAGGCTACTATTGACAGTGGGACCAGCGAAGAACAGTGATTTTCCTTGTGTCTATCAACAGTGGGACCGGCAGGATAGCTGTGATTTTCTGCACACGCAGACATCATCAAATAGACACACGCAAGGCACACACAGACACACATGCAGCCACACACACATTCACACACAAGCACTCAAAGACATTCGCACAAACTTATAAAATTACCCATACATACACAGAATCACATATCACAAACACGCCTACACATGTCACACATATACCATACATATATATCATACACAAGTTATTTAATTACAAATTGATAATGCAATATGGATTGTTACCTACACTTAAGGTGGCATATAATCACTAGAGTTCACTGAGTAGGGACTCTTTGTAGTTTTCAGATTGAGTGGAAGATGGTTCCATAAATGAGCAGCAGAATATGCTAAACTTGTTTTGAATAAATGAATTCTAGGTTTATGCAAATGTAATAAACATAGTCGCTTGCTATTCATAGGATTGAACTGAATCAATCGGAAGGTGTAATTTAAAGTATCTTGAGATAGGATTTTGTGAATGAATTTGGCCTTGTTAAAAATTAAACATTTACTTAAATGGCAGCAGAAGTTTTAGATGTCAGCATAAGAGACTTTTCTCGAAGTAGTTTCTATCAGACTAGGCGTAAGGCCTGATTTTTTCTATTATTATATTTCTATAATTCTATTTTTCTAGTATTTCTAGATTCCTGCATGACTGCACAGGTTTAGCAACAAGACCAGTTTTTCTAGACTCCTGCATGACTGCACAGGTTTAGCAACAAGACCAGTATTTCTAGACTCCTGCATGACTGCACAAGTTTAGCAACAAGACCAGTATTTCTAGACTCCTGCATGACTGCACAGGTTTAGCAATAAAACCAGTATTTCTAGACTCCTGCATGACTGCACAAGTTTAGCAACAAGACCAGTATTTCTAGACTCCTGCATGACTACACAAGTTTAGCAACAAGACCAGTATTTCTAGACTCCTGCATGACTGCACAAGTTTAGCAACAAGACCAGTATTTCTAGACTCCTGCATGACTGCACAAGTTTAGCAACAAGACAAGTATTTCTAGACTCCTGCATAACTGACAGATTTAGCAACAAGACCAGTAAGTATTTCTAAACTCCTGCATTACTGCACAGGTTTAGCAACAAGACCAGTAAGTATTTCTAGACTCCTGCATGACTTCATATGTTTAGCAACAGGACCAGTATTTCTAGATTCCTGCATGACTGCACAGGTTTAGCAACAAGACCAGTATTTCTAGATTCCTGCATGACTGCACAGGTTTAGCAACAAGACCAGTATTTCTAGATTCCTGCATGACTGCACAGGTTTAGCAACAAGACCAGTAAGTATTTCTAGACTCCTGCATGACTTCATATGTTTAGCAACAAGACCAGTATTTCTAGATTCCTGCACAACTGCACAGATTTAGCAATAAAACCAATTTTCTAGACTCCTGCATGAATGCACAAGTTTAGCAATAAGACCAGTATTTCTAGACTTATTAGTAATCAACAAACAGAATATGCATAAAATAACAAGCAACAATATTAAAACACAAAAACCTTCTTCTCCTGCATTTGTACTTAAAAAGGTGGCTGACAGCTAGGCTGTGATTCCTGCACCTTTAATCACAAGCATCTGATTTCAGCAAATAGCACACTATAAACCAAACTGTATGCAATCATATCAGGCAACCATTGTTGTTTCCTGTTCATCCATCACAAATGATAAAGGCCAACTTTGTCTGTCATCAGTCATGAACCTATAGTTGATTGTCTGTGAGGCTGGAGGTGACTTATAAGCCTTATATGGGCCCAGAAGGCGGGAATTGAAGTGTGTGAAAATAAAGGGACAAACTTTCCAGGCTGTCTTTGCTATTCAGATAGACATTAGCTGTGTGGTCAGGTCTTGTACAGCAGTCTCTCAAGCGACCAGGTTTATATTGAAAGCTTGAAGTGATGCCTTTAGTGTGTTCTTGGAGTTTTTTTTTAGGGCCATCACGAGAGCGTCTACTTTCCTGTATCTCATCACCATGCAAGATAATTTTGGGGAGCCAACTGTTTGGCACACGGACAAAGTGACCTGCCCAATTGATCTGTGACTGCATCAGGACGGTAACAATGCCAGCTCTATTCAATAAGACAGTATCTGTCTCAGACAGACTGTATGGACGTGGTTGAGCTTCTCTACATGATCTTGGTTTACAGTCCATGTTTCACAAGCAGAGAGCACCAACGGGAAGCAATGCAGCTCTGTTTACCTTCAGTGTCGTTTGCAGACGGATGACACTTTCGATGCCAAACACTGGTGTAAAGTCAACCAAATGTGCAGCTGTCTTTAGGTATCATGATGTTTACTTCATCGTCAATGGTAACACAATCATTTCAATACACAGATAACTGCAAGCAAACATACTGTGACAGCCTTTATGAACAATATGAAAAAATGCCAAACTACACTATATATTGTGCACAACTACTCCCCCCCCTCCCCTCCCGAACAAGCATGTTGCAAAAGGAACCTCATTAGGGATGTTTCTTTCAAAGTCAGAGTGCATCTGCCTGTGAGGTGAGGAACCAGCGGTCTTCAAAAAAATAAGTGGGATCTACAAAATGGATGTGCATGAAGTCCAGAAGTGGACAAGCAAGCAGAGCTAACCAGCATTGTCTACAGCCGGTGAAAGCTAAGAAGAAGAGGAAAACTATAAAACCATATGAGGCACCATTATATGCAACATTATTATACAGACCACTATACCACGTATTGCATCCAAACATAGGGTATATGTATGGCATTAGTAATCATGTATGTCCAAGAGTTGAAACAAGTTCCCAAACTACTAGACAACAACAATTCCTTATTGAAACAAAAAATCACAGACAAATATATATTAAAATAATTGCACTCAATATCCCACAAAAGCCATCATTAGCAAGTCAGCCTCCCCCCTCTGCTCCCCTTTAAATGGTCAACTTATCTCTGCAGTTTCAAGTCTTCACCACCAGAGGTCAGTATTTCTCTGTGGCATTCTTCAGGTGTGTAGAATCTGTGTTGCCAGGTGTTTTTCCATCACGCACGTGAATTTCAATCGATGACAAGCCTTGGGACTCTTCGAACAGTCTCTGGTCTCTGAGACGCTCCGATTCAATCTGTACCAGGAGAAAGAACATTTGCAAGTCATTCAAGGTGAGCACAGATGAGATCACCAACTTTACTGTCCTGGGTAAATCATTCAAGGTGAGCACAGATGAGATCACCAACTCACCTGTCCCGGGTAAATCATTCAAGGTGAGCACAGATGAGATCACCAACTCACCTGTCCCGGGTAAATCATTCAAGGTGAGCACAGATGAGATCACCAACTCACCTGTCCCGGGTAAATCATTCAAGGTGAGCACAGATGAGATCACCAACTCACCTGTCCCGGGTAAATCATTTAAGGTGAGCACAGATGAGATCACCAACTTACCTGTCCCGGGTAAATCATTCAAGGTGAGCACAGATGAGATCACCAACTTACCTGTCCCGGGTAAATCATTCAAGGTGAGCATAGATGAGATCACCAACTCACCTGTCCCGGGTAAATCATTCAAGGTGAGCACAGATGAGATCACCAACTTACCTGTCCCGGGTAAATCATTCAAGGTGAGCACAGATGAGATCACCAACTTAGCTGTCCCGGGTAAATCATTCAAGGTGAGCACAGATGAGATCACCAACTTACCTGTCCCGGGTAAATCATTCAAGGTGAGCACAGATGAGATCACCAACTTACCTGTCCCGGGTAAATCATTCAAGGTGAGCACAGATGAGATCACCAACTTTACTGTCCTGGGTAAATCATTCAAGGTGAGCACAGATGAGATCACCAACTCACCTGTCCCGGGTAAATCATTCAAGGTGAGCACAGATGAGATCACCAACTCACCTGTCCCGGGTAAATCATTCAAGGTGAGCACAGATGAGATCACCAACTTACCTGTCCCGGGTAAATCATTCAAGGTGAGCATAGATGAGATCATCAACTTTACTGCCCTGGGTAGGTCGTTTAAGGTGGGAACAGGTGAGATCACCAACTTTACTGTCCTGGTTAAGAGTTAAGTCATTCGAGGTGAGTACTGGTGAGATCACCAACTTTACTGCATTTGGTTTTGTTCTAGCTTGCTTACTTTTTCTCCTCAGAGACCAAGTTTCTTGCAGGTGGGCTGTGATGGAAGTGACATTCTGTAAAGGACCTGCCACGTGATGATGATAATGGTTACTCCTGCAACCTTTCTCAGAAATCTCACTTCCACGGCTACTCATTTTTGTTTCTGACTGGTGGCATAGGGTGTGGACCAACATGTTTTGTATGAGACACCTCTAGTGTTAATGGTTGGGCCTGTCTCATGGTTACCTGTCGAAACCTGGTTCCCTTTACTGCACTGGGTGTTAAATGCTCATCTAGTGTGTCATCTTTGGTGAAAGTTACATCTGTAGTCCATTCCAAAAGTCATGCCCAACTTAACAAATCTGTAACTGAGTAACCAAGGAGTCAGTTGTTGAAATCTGGCACCCAACCTGTTATTAAACATCCTGCTGTAGGCAAATAATTACAATGTAAACAAACAGTTTTTACTTTGCCCTATTTGTAGCATATGAAAAAGAAACACTATATATAGCATACAATTATAATTTTTACAGTAAATTGATGGATGCAAAGCCAGCAAAATATCAATCAAACTGCCCGAGTGTTGGAGATAATCCGTGCAAAAAACTAAGGAGCGATTTTGAATAGTGACGTGGATATGTCATGAACTGCTATAATGATAGTTGAGTGGCTCATAACAAGTACATGATTTGGATCAACTACTGTGTATGCCTTTATTATATTTTTAAAAAAAAAGCCTCATGGGTAAACAAATTATTAGTTTAACAAAAAACAAAGAAATCTGCGGCTGTCAGAAAACAGCAGCACCTGTGCAATTATAAATTAGGAAATCATATGGACATGAGAAATCTAAGACCACATGCAAAATTGTGTGTTGTTCCGTACAGGAGTTTTCCAGACATTTGTAAAAGTTTGAGGGCACAAATTTTGGAATGGACTGTAGATACATATTTCATCTGTTGGCACTAAACTACTTTATTTCTGTACAATGACAAAAGACTGTCATGAATCTTCTATCATTGTCTTCCAGTTTCTCTCTTTCACCTGTGCCAATTTTCCCAGTTGTTATAACATGTTTCAGCTTTAAGCTTCTCAAGATGTAGCCACAAAACACTGCATGCCTAGATCTGACAAAGGCAAACAAACAACCAAAGAAAGAGTGTCCCATGGGTAATGCAAAAGTATGCAAATGTTCAAGCAAAGGAAACAATAACCCACACAGCAGTTCTCCATACCTCATCATCACCATGTTGCAGGAATACATCTCCCATTACCATCTGCTGCAAAGACTCATATCTCCATGGCTATATTCCCATTTGAGCATCTAATGTTGTGTGTCCACTTGTGCCTCTAATGTTGTGTGTCCACTTGTGCCTCTAATGTTCTGTGTCCACTTGTGCCTCTAATGTTCTGTGTCCACTTGTGCCTCTAATGTTCTGTGTCCACTTGTGCATCTAATGTTCTGTGTCCACTTGTGCATCTAATGTTCTGTGTCCACTTGTACATCTAATGTTCTGTGTCCACTTGTGCATCTAATGTTCTGTGTCCACTTGTGCATCTAATGTTCTGTGTCCACTTGTGCCTCTAATGTTCTGTGTCCACTTGAGCATCTAATGTTTTGTGTCCACTTGTGCCTCTAATGTTCTGTGTCCACTTGTGCCTCTAATGTATCTGCATGTCCACTTGTGCATCTAATGTTCTGTGTCCACTTGTGCATCTAATGTTCTGTGTCCACTTGTGCCTCTAATGTTCTGTGTCCACTTGTGCCTCTAATGTTCTGTGTCCACTTGTGCCTCTAATGTTTTGTGTCCACTTGTGCCTCTAATGTATCTGCATGTCCACTTGTGCCTCTAATGTTCTGTGTCCACTTGTGCCTCTAATGTTCTGTGTCCACTTGTGCCTCTAATGTATCTGCATGTCCACTTGTGCCTCTAATGTTCTGTGTCCACTTGTGCCTCTAATGTTCTGTGTCCACTTGTGCCTCTAATGTATTTGCATGTCCACTTGTGCCTCTAATGTTCTGTGTCCACTTGTGCATCTAATATTCTGTGTCCACTTGAGCATCTAATGTTTTGTGTCCACTTGTGCCTCTAATGTATCTGCATGTCCACTTGTGCATCTAATGTTCTGTGTCCACTTGTGCCTCTAATGTATCTGCATGTCCACTTGTGTCTCTAATGTTCTGTGTCCACTTGTGCCTCCAATGTTCCGTGTTCACTTGTGCCTCCAATGTTCTGTGATCACTTTACTGCTGGTCTAAGCTTGCCTCTTCTCCTAAGAATCATCCTTTCAAATTATTGTTTATTCTAAATAAGAAGCAGCATTTTCATTTGGCCAGAGGTGTACAACATCATTCTACTCTCATGAGTCTTTTTCTTCGATTGTAGAATGTCAGTAATGGTTCTTCTGGATCTGCGGCACTCTAAGTTGCCAACATTGCTAACTCATGAGAGTGGAGCTAGATTTGGTGGAGTGTCATTGAAGGATATCAACATGAGAGTGGAGCTAGATTTGGTGGAGTGTCATGGAAAGATGTCAACATGAGAGTGGAGATGTCATGGAAAGATGTCAACATGAGAGTGGAGCTAGATATGGTGGAGTGTCAAGGAAAGATGTCAACATGAGAGTGGAGCTAGATATGGTGGAGTGTCAAGGAAAGATGTCAACATGAGAGTGGAGCTAGATATGGTGGAGTGTCAAGGAAAGATGTCAACATGAGAGTGGAGGTGTCATGGAAAGATGTCAACATGAGAGTGGATGTGTCAAGGAAAGATGTCAACATGAGAGTGGATGTGTCAAGGAAAGATGTCAAAATGAGAGTGGAAGTGTCAAGGAAAGATGTCAACATGAGAGTGGATGTGTCAAGGAAAGATGTCAACATGAGAGTGGATGTGTCAAGGAAAGATGTCAACATGAGAGTGGATGTGTCAAGGAAAGATGTCAACATGAGAGTGGAGGTGTCATGGAAAGATGTCAACATGAGAGTGGATGTGTCAAGGAAAGATGTCAACATGAGAGTGGATGTGTCAAGGAAAGATGTCAACATGAGAGTGGATGTGTCAAGGAAAGATGTCAACATGAGAGTGGAAGTGTCAAGGAAAGATGTCAACATGAGAGTGGAGGTGTCAAGGAAAGATGTCAACATAAGAGTGGATGTGTCAAGGAAAGATGTCAACATGAGAGTGGAGGTGTCATGGATAGATGTCAACATGAGAGTGGAGGTGTCAAGGAAAGATGTCAACATGAGAGTGGAGCTAGAGTTGGTAAAGTGGCAGAACTGCTATCCAGTGACTTCATTATGACAAAACAATCAGTCATGCAGATAAACAACAAAGTAGCACCAACAAATGACCATATACCTCTTTTTCCATCCTCTTATACTCTTCCAGCGCATATCCATATTTTGGAGACGTAATACCAAAGAACCAGGCAAGCTTCTCCCCACACAGCTCAGCCGCTGAAAATATAATCATGTATAATCAAATATCTGCAGACTTAGAAACCACAACTTGTCTGAAGATCAAAAATACTTGTTAAAGTTCTCTGCTCAAAAATGTCAAATGAACATGTACACTTTGAACCACCTTTTCAACTGCCTGGCCATTAGAACATAATGGACACTGGAGAAGTCTAACTACTGGAAAAAACTGGACAATGGAATATAATGGACACTGGAGAAGTCTAACTACTGGAAAAAACTGGACAATGGAATACTCTGTGGACAAGAAAACAAAAACCTGTGTATAAAAAATTCATTTGGGCCTAATGCCAGCCAATCAACTCAAGCTATCATGAATCATGACCTAATGCCAGCGAATCAACTCAAGCTATCATGAATCATGACCTAATGCCAGCCAATCAACTCAAGCTATCATGAATCATGACCTAATGCCAGCCAATCAACTCAAGCTATCATGAATCATGACCTAATGCCAGCCAATCAACTCAAGCTATCATGAATCATGATCTAATGCCAGCCAATCAACTCAAGCTATCATGAATCATGACCTAATGCCAGCCAATCAACTCAAGCTATCATGAATCATGACCTAATGCCAGCCAATCAACTCAAGCTATCATGAATCATGACCTAATGCCAGCCAATCAACTCAAGCTATCATGAATCATGATCTAATGCCAGCCAATCAACTCAAGCTATTATGAATCATGACCTAATGCCAGCCAATCAGTTCTTGCTATGACGAATCATGATCTAATGCCAGCCAATCAACTCAAGCTATCATGAATCATGACCTAATGCCAGCCAATCAACCCATGCTGTAATGAATCATGACCTAATGCCAGCCAATCAACCCATGCTGTAATGAATCATGACCTAATGCCAGCCAATCAGTTCTTGTTATGATGAATCATGACCTAATGCCAGCCAATCAGCTCATGCTATCATGAATCACGATCTAATGCCAGCCAATCAGCTCATGCTGTAATGAATCATGATCTAATGCCAGCCAATCAGTTCTTGTTATGATGAATCATGATCTAATGCCAGCCAATCAGTTCTTGTTATGATGAATCATGACCTAAGGCCAGCCGATCAGCTCATGCTATAATGAATCATGACCTAATGCCAGCCAATCAATTCATGCTATGACAAATCATGACCTTATGCTAGCCAATTAGTTTTTGCTATGATGAATTTACCTAATACCAGCCAATCAGTTTCTGCTATGATGAATTTACCTAATGCCAGCCAATCAGTTTCTGCTATGATGATGATACCTAATGCCAGCCAATCAGTTTCTGCTATGATGATGATACCTAATGCCAGCCAATTAGTTTCTGCTATGATGAATTTACCTAATGCCAGCCAATCAGTTTCTGCTATGATGAATTTACCTAATGCCAGCCAATCAGTTTCTGCTATGATAAATCATGACCTTATGCTAGCCAATTAGTTCTTGCTATGATGAATCCTGACCTTAGACTAGCCAATCAATTCATGCTATGACAAATCATGACCTAATGCCAGCCAATCAGTTCATGCTATTACGATTCGTAACCTAATGCCAACCAATCAACTCATGCTATGATGAATCATTAATAATTCCAACCAATCAGCTGAAGCTATAGCGAAAGTGATATTTATCATTATTCTAGTAAACTTAATTAAATTTGAAGTATGGTATCAGTTTTAGACTTTAGCTATAACTACATTAAGAAGAAATTGGACAAAACTAGGCGTGAATAATACAAGTTTTGCAAAACAATTATTATAGATGCCATACAAACAATCTCACATTTGTTGGTACCTTGAAACAAGTCTCAATTGGAAGACTTCGGAAAGGCTAAAACTGAAGCACCTAAAGGAAATCAACTGGCCCTTTCAGATTTTTGCTTTAATGATACTATTAGTCATCATCTTCGTGGACACACAAAGCAAGTGCGGTCTCAACATTTGGTGTCAAATAACTAAATTATAGGTTGTTCCCTGCCAATCTTCTTCTTCTTCTCTTCCACCTGTTGGACACCTAACAAGAATGCCCTGGTACTATCCGCCACAGCCAGCCCTGCCAATCTTCTTCTTCTCTTCCACCTCTGGTTTGGACACCTAACAAGAATGCCCTGGTACTATCCGCCACAGCCAGCCCTGCCAATCTTCTTCTTCTTCTCTTCCACCTGTGGTTTGGACACCTAACAAGGATGCCCTGGTACTATCCGCCACAGCGAGCCCTGCCAATCTTCTTCTTCTTCTCTTCCACCTGTGGTTTGGACACCTAACAAGAATGCCCTGGTACTATCCGCCACAGCCAGCCCTGCCAATCTTCTTCTTCTCTTCCACCTGTAGGACACCTAACAAGAATGTCCTGGTACTATCCCCCACAGCGAGCCCTGCCAATCTTCTTCTTCTTCTCTTCCACCTGTTGGACACCTAACAAGAATGCCCTGGTACTATCCCCCACAGCGAGCCCTGCCAATCAATGTGGTTAAAAGCAACAATTTCTTCAACTTTGTCGATGTAACAGATGCAAAAATGACTTCCCTAAATTCAAAAAAAGGTGAAGCGAGGAGTCAACACCATTTATCAAGAAGCAAAACAGAAGTGGCATTATGAGTTAGAAAACAATTACAGAGTTACAACAGTTACTGCTCGCTCTAGATATCACACCTGAAGGGTGATGCTGAGGAGGGGGAGAACTCAGAAAAAAAGAAGTAGAAGAAATAAGAAAAAAAAAAGAAATTAGAAAAAGAAGAAGAAGTAGAAGAATAAGGAAAAGAAAATTAGTAAAAGAGGAGGAGGAGAAAACCAATTTAACAAAAAAAAAAAAAAAAAAGACTATACAATCACAAATATTGAGGCAACACTCACCAAATAATGACTTTCGGGCAACCATAGTTACATAGTACAGGCACCATGGTGTCCAAGTTAACATTCTCTGTAACAAAATTGCATGTTGGCTGTATCAGCTACATATGTAATTGTTACTGGTTGCATGTTTGCTGTATCAGCTACAAAAATAATGGTTACGGGTTACACATTTACTGTGTTAAATATTTGCCATATCAGCTACATATGTAATTGTTACACGTTACCTAGAGCTAGTCTGATCATACAAGTCAACATTTGTTGGTCATATTATGAGAGAGTAGTGAGATTTGCAACAACAGAGATAAAGGAATGCAGAGAGAATATATCAGCTTTTTTTACTTAGAGTAAAGATCAGCAAATCAGTCTCACACCAAGCCATCTATAACAAGCATTGTAAAGTGCAGCGGTACAGTTCTTTCTTTCCCTTCCATTAAAACATATAGTTAGGGAACAGCGGTACAGTTCTTTCTTTCCTCCCATTAAAACATGTAGGGTAGGGTACAGCGGTACAGTTCTTTCTTTCCTCCCATTAAAACATGTAGGGTAGGGTACAGTGGTACAGTCCTTCCTTTCTCTCCTATTACAACATGTAGGGTAGGGTACAGTTCTTCTTTTCTCTCCTATTACAACATGTAGGGTAAGGTACAGTTCTTCCTTTCTCTCCTATTACAACATGTAGGGTAAGGTACAGTTCTTCCTTTCTCTCCTATTACAACATGTAGGGTAAGGTACAGTTCTTCCTTTCTCTCCTATTACAACATGTAGGGTAGGGTACAGCGGTACAGTTCTTTCTTTCCTCCCATTAAAACATGTAGGGTAAGGTACAGCGATTTCCCTCCCATTTAAACATATAGGTAGGGTACAGCGGTACAGTTCTTCCTTTCCCTCCCATTAAAACTTGTAGGGTAGGGTACAGCGGTACAGTTCTTCCTTTTCCTCCCATTAAAACATGTAGGTAGGGTACAGCGATTTCCCTCCCATTAAAACATGTAGGTAGTGTACAGCAGTACAGTTCTTTCTTTCCCTCTCATTCAAACATGTAGGGTAGGGTACAGCAGTACAGTTCTTTCTTTCCCTCTCATTACAACATGTAGGGTAGGGTACAGCAGTACAGTTCTTCCTTTTCCTCCCATTAAAACATGTAGGTAGGGTACAGCAGTACAGTTCTTTCTTTCCCTCTCATTACAACATGTAGGGTAGGGTACAGCAGTACAGCTCTTCCTTTCCCTCCCATTAAAACATGTAGGTAGGGTACAGCAGTACAGTTCTTTTTTTCCCTCCCATTACATGTAGGGTAGGGTACAGCAGTACAGTACTTCCTATCCCTCCCATTACAAAATATAGGGTAGGGTACAGCAGTACAGTTCTTTTTTTCCCTCCCATTACATGTAGGGTAGGGTACAGCAGTACAGTACTTCCTATCCCTCCCATTACAAAATATAGGGTAGGGTACAGCGGTACAGTTCTTCCTTTCCCTCCCATTACAACATGTAGATATTATGGACAGACCAGAGCAAGTCATTATTCTATGCCTTACAACAGGCCACAATCGACTTTGCAGCCACTGTACACAAAATTTAGATTGGCGAATCAGCCATGTGCACATAGAAACTGGCACCTTAGACAATAGATCACATCCTCCAAGACTGTCCCAAATACAACATTTCCAGGAAAAACTTCTGGCTAAGAGAGACACTGGTGGAAGCCAAGCTTTACAGGCCACTAAGTGAATTAGAAAAGACAGAGAAGTTCATACTAGAGACAGCACTGCAGATACAGATAAGTTATTTTAAGTGAATGGAAGAAGACAACATGAAGGGTAGGGTACAGCAGTAAAATTCTATCAATGTAACCGGTCTCACATCATACACTGTGAGGGAAGTCACAAAACATACACTGTAGGGGAAGTCACACATCATACACTGTGAGGGAAGTCACAAAACATACACTGTAGGGGAAGTCACACAACATACACTGTGGGGGAAGTCACACAACATACACTGTGAGGGAAATCACACAACATACACTGTGGGGGAAGTCACACAACATACACTGTGGGTGAAGTCACACAACATACACTGTGGGGGAAGTCACACAACAAACACTGTGAGGGAAGTCACACATCATTCAATGAGAGTAGTCACACATCATATAATGTGTGGGAAGTCACACATCATACAATGAGAGAGAAGTCACACATCATACACTGTGTGGGAAGTCACACATCTTACACTGTGTGGGAAGTCACACATCATACACTGTGAGGGAAGTCACACATCATACAATGAGAGAGAAGTCACACATCATTAACTGTGTGGGAAGTCACACATCATACACTGTGAGGGAAGTCACACATCATACACTGTTAGGGAAGTCACACATCATACACTGTGAGGGAAGTCACACATCATACACTGTGTGGGAAGTCTGCAGGAAGTAGACAGATGCCTGAGACACGCTTGCATGAAAAATTTCAGATGCTAGAGACATAAATTTAAACTCACTGGGTCAACTTTGGTTTGGATAGGAGAAGCTTCATCTTCACTTTCATCAGAAGAATATTCCTCCAAAATGCCATCACTAAAATGAAGGACACGTTTAGGTTGTCTGTGTGCCTCCTCTCCCACTTTGGCTGCAACTAAATCAGTTACAACTGGGCTATCTGCTGGCTGCATATAGAAATACGAATTATACAATTACAAAATGTGAAACTATAATGATACAGTGATGTTTCTATCGTTACAGGTCCTACACACCGCTACATTAAAAGATGCGACTGCAACATTCTATAGTAAAGATACCATATTTGTCTTCTGTCATCATTACATCAAACTAAGAAATGGCAAATGTACTTCTTCTTCTGCGTTCGACACCAGTCATGCTACACATTGAGTCCCGTCTGGGTCAAAAATAGGATTGTGCGTTTAAGGTCGCCACCGGTCCCCCATAGCTTCTCTCGCAATGTGGATCCCCTGGGCCAGATCCAGTCTTTGCTGGGAGAGGTAAGGGCAGTACTGCTCAGGGGTCTGTCTTTCTGCTCCACAATCACAGGCAGCAGATTCTTTTATGCCTATCCTGTACAGGTGTGCTCGAAGACCACAGTGTCCAGTCCGAAGTCTAAAAATTGATGTTTGTTCTTTCCTGTTGAGTTTGTGTATGCTGTCACTCTCTGGTCTGTAATCTCTATTCTGCTTTCTCCACTCCCGCTTGAAAGACTGCTTTAGTGCTGTTTTGGTGGATGAGGTTGTGGAAGATTACTCCCAGCTTTTGCCAACTCATCTGCTCTCTCATTTCCATGAATACCACAGTGGGCTGGTATCCACTGCAAGACCAGTTCTGCTTCCTTGGAGAGTAAGCCAATGTTGGTCCTTAGATCTGAAATTAGTTTGTCTTGTTTTTTGCTTGATAGTGCTTGGAGAACAGACAATGAGTCACTAAGTATAACAATTGTGTGCCCTCTGTGTTCTTGAGTGATGAGATGTTGGACTGCAGAAAGGAGGTTAGTTGCCTCAGCTCTGAAGTTAGTGCAGATGTCACCTGCTGGTAGAGAGAGAGTTTCTGCTCTACTGCTAGGGGGTTTAATGTATATTCCACAACCCCCATTTCTGACTGCATCTATAGCAGAGCCCTCGGTGAAAACCTGAGTCCAAGTGTTTGGATACTTCTCATCAAGCATAGCAAGAGCCATGGTTCTCTGTAGTGTCTCCGTCTGGGCATCTTTTGAAGTGATCCCTGGTACCTTTAGAACTACATTTGCCTTCTCTGGCTTGCTCTTTCAAGCAGATCTTGGTGCTGTCTGTACAGTTCTCTAGCACTGTGGTTGGGCTTCTGACGCTTCAGTCTGTTTTTTGTTCTCTCTTGAAATTTAAAATGCAGTGGGTGACTTTGAAGTCTTTTTAATTTCTCATACTGTAAAAGAGTTTTGTATTGTCTTCTGAGTTCGAGTGGTTCAGTATCTGCTATCCTCTCTATCTCTCTGATGGGGGTGGATTTCATGGCTCCGAGAACAATCCTTAATCCCATATTCTGAACCTTATCCAGTTTTGCCGCTGTTGTCTTGGCTGCTGCAGCCCATTCAGTGGAGGCATATTCTATGACTGGCCTGACTGCTCCAGTATATACTTGTTTTAGGATTCTGGAGTTAGCTCCCCATGTGGTATCCGCAAATTTTATGGCAAATGTAGACAACATCTGCTTTCTGTCTGTGATCTCTACTCTCTCAGACTCACTGGAAAAGCTCAGAAACAGACTAGGCAGCCCTGCAAAAAGATACATAGAAACAAGCCAAAACTGTGACTGAAGTCTTCATCAATAACAAGACAGCAACAGAACTTAGCTACACAACCAAAGGTTGCTGTGTGTGTGTGATACTGATACTCCATCATACATTGTGATAGTTTCTATCCTGTGGGAAAGCAATACTCTGTCATACATAGTGCGGGTTTCTGTCCTGTGTGAAAGTGATACCCAGTCGTACATTGTGTGGGTTTCTATCCTGTGTGAAAGTGATCCTCTACTTACACACTATCCTTTATGAAAGTGATAATTTACTCATACACTGTACTGGTTTATGCCCTGTGTGAAAGTGATATTCCATCATACAGTGTGTAGGTTTCTACCCTGTAGTGTATGAAAGTGATATTCCATCATACAGTGTGTAGGTTTCTACCCTGTAGTGTATGAAAGTGATATTCCATCATACAATGTGTAGGTTTCTATCCTGTGTGAGAGTGATACTCAACTCATACATGGTGTTGGCTCCTATTCTGTGCGAAAGTGATGATACTTCACTATACATTGTGTGGGTTCCTGAAGACTGTTGTGTGAAAATTTACTAACAGTTGAAGTTGAAACAATACGCCAATACGGTCACCAGCCATCCTATTGTCACTCAGTCAGCAACTGATGTGCTCGTGGTTCATCAACGATAACGAGTTAATGGATCCCCGTCGTAATCACTGTTAGTATAACTTATACGTACTATAAATTACTATAAGTATTAAATATTATATTTATATTATTTTTTCATCTATTCATTATTTATTTATTTTTATCGATCCAGTCGAAGTCAGCAACTGATGTGCTCGTGGTTCATCAACGATAACGAGTTAATGGATCCCCGTCGTAATCACTGTTAGTATAACTTATACGTACTATAAATTACTATAAGTATTAAATATTATATTTATATTATTTTTTCATCTATTCATTATTTATTTATTTTTATCGATCCAGTCCAGATTGGAATACCGGAACCTTGTCAACATCGCAGTTGTCAGTAACTACTGATCACAGTCAAACACTGGAAACTGTCAACCAAAAAACTGCCGTGTATAAGAATATAATTGTGTACAGCTGGCGTCAAGTCTGAGCATCAATCACTCACCAGGACCAGGGACAGTTGGACGGGTTGTGGATGTGACTCGACGGCCGCCATGTTGCCATAGACTCCAGCAGGACTTCCGCTCACGATGGCGGATACAAAATCAGCAACAGACTGCATTACTTACTGATAGATCATTAATAGATGACACTATATCTACACTGCATTATTGAGTTTATTAAAGAGGAGTTTATAACAGATGACACTATATCTACACTGCATTATTGAGTTTATAATAAATGACATAATTATAATATATCTACTATATATTATACAGTTAATAATAGATGACATCATATCTACTCTGAATTATACCGTTTATAATAGATGACATATATCTACTATGTATTAAACAGTTTATAATAGACGACATTATATCGACTCTTATTATAGAGATTATAATAGATGAAATTATTTCTACACTGCATTATAGAGTTTATAATAGATGAGTTTATAACAGATGACACTTTATCGACTCTGCATTAGACAGTTTATAATAGATGACATTATATCTACTCTTTGTTATAGAGCTTATAATAGATGACATTATATCTAAACTAAATAAAAAAAAAGTAAAGGACCCTTTTCCATGCCTTTAGGCATATAGGGTTAGACCTATTATTTTATAGACCAATCGGCACAAGATGGATGTGGTCAGCAACACGCCGGCCACCTTTACTTCCTGGGACTGCACCTGGTACCCACTCAAGCTGGGTCGTCATGGGAGCCAAAGCAAGGTCATTTTTGAAAAAAGTCGGCTCCTCCAGTGAGCGAGAGAACCCACGACCTTCCGATCTGCGGAAGTTTATAATATATTACAATACATCTGCTCTGCTTTAAAGTTTCTAATAGATGACATTACATCTACTCTGCATTATAGCGTATATAAGATTATATTTGAAGAGCCCGGCTCACTAGCGCAGTTGGCTGCACCGAAATGCGCGGCGACCAGGTGACGAACTTCTTGTGGTCCCGGTTCACGCCCGGGGTAGGCAGAAAAGCCTAATTCCTCCCAGATTCACGGGATCTATCATGGAATCAAGGGTGAAGGGTTGCCATATCTAAAGTACCATGCCAAAGGGTTAACAGTTAACAACAAAGACTGGAATGGTTCCACCATATAGTGGAATGATTTTAACAATGCATGCACTGAGAGAGAGCCCACAACAAGTCAAAGAGAAAAACCAGGGGCAGATGCCGACCTAGAAGATGGACAGCTATGAACCGATATCCCAGCATTCCATAATCGCTTCAACCCAATCTTCAGCAGCTAGTGAAGAGCCCCAGTGCCGATCGTACCATCAGCAGTCTGACTATATGTCTATCTTGTCTTTCTGTAGAGTGTTGGCCAGATCCCCATGAACACTGCCTGCTACACCACAAAGCAACCCGGTCAGCACACGACCCACTAATTAGTATGTGCGCTTACACTCTAATTTGTGCGCTTACACTCTCTAGTATGTGCGCCTAGACTCTAAAGTATGTGCGCTTACACTCTAGTTTGTGCGTGTACACTCTAGTTTGTGCGCTTACACTCTCTAGTATGTGCGCCTAGACTCTAAAGTATGTGCGCTTACACTCTAGTTTGTGCGCTTAAACTCTCTAGTATGTGCGCCTAGACTCTAAAGTATGTGCGCTTACACTCTAGTTTGTGCGCATAGACTCTAAAGTATGTGCGCTTACACTCTCTAGTTTGTGCGCTTACACTCTCTAGTATGCGCGCCTAGACTCTAAAGTATGTGCGCTTACACTCTCTAGTTTGTGCGCTTACACTCTCTAGTATGCGCGCCTAGACTCTAAAGTATGTGCGCTTACACTCTCTAGTTTGTGCGCTTACACTCTATAGTATGCGCGCCTAGACTCTAAAGTATGTGCGCTTACACTCTCTAGTTTGTGCGCTTACACTCTCTAGTATGTGCGCCTAGACTCTAAAGTATGTGCGCTTACACTCTCTAGTTTGTGCGCTTACACTCTTAAGTATGCGCGCCTAGACTCTAAAGTATGTGCGCTTACACTCTCTAGAATGCGCGCATAGACTCTAAAGTATGTGCGCTTACACTCTCTAGTATGCGCACCTAGACTCTAAAGTATGTGCGCTTACACTCTAGTTTGTGCGCTTACACTCTAGTTTGTGCGCTTACACTCTCTAGTATGCGCGCCTAGACTCTAAAGTATGTGCGCTTACACTCTCTAGTATGCGCGCCTAGACTCTAAAGTATGTGCGCTTACACTCTAGTTTGTGCGCTTACACTCTAGTTTGTGCGCTCACACTCTCTAGTATGCGCG